CGGGCTCCTGCAGCAGCTCGTAGCGCTCGATGCCGTTGCGGCCGAAGTCGCGGTCGGTGGCGGTGGGCAGCAGGTAGAGCGTCCCCACGGGCCGGTTCTCCTCCACCGTGAGGGTGAGCACGGGCGATGGGAAGGTGGGCGTGTTGTCGTTGATGTCCAGGATGATGACCCGGCCCTCGAAGAGGTCCACCCAGCTCTGCGAGGGGCCGATCACCGAGACCTCGAAGTCCAGGAAGCACTCGTTCTCGTCAAAGATCATCTGGCACTGCGGCAGCTTCTCGCGGTCGATGCGCCGCTCCGTGGTGCTCAGCTCCCCGGTCATGTTGTCGATCTTCAGGTAGTCGGAGCCGGACTCCAGGCTGAACGTCACCTCGCCCGAGCCCGTTACGATGCCCAGGTCCGAGGCCACGTTGCCGATGCGGATGTCGGCGGGGCCCTCCTCGGCCAGCCGGTACCTCAGCAGCTGCTTGGCCGCGGCCAGGCTGAGCCAGAGCGGAGGAGGCAGGAGCAGCAGGAAGCAGCAGCAGCAGCAGCGCACGCAGCCCAGGGGAGTCCGCATCTTCCTCATCTTCTCTGCACCCCAGCCCCCCTCCCGCCCGCCCCCCCGCACACTCCCCCGGGCGGCCACCGGGCACGCGGGCGGGCGAGCGGCGAGAAAAGCCTCCCGCGGCTGCAAACTTGTGGTCCCGGAGCCGGTGCAAGCGGTGGCCGGAGCCCTGGCGGCGGCTCCTCTCCCAGTTGCGAGGCACTCGCAGTTCACGGGACAGCGTGCGCTGCTGTTTAAAGATTCATCTCGGCAGATAGGACGGGATTTTCCTCCTCCTCCTCCTCCTCCTCCTCCTCTCCGATTTTACTGTAATCACTTTGCAAGGTTTGCAATAAAAGCCGGAGCTGCAGAGTGCGAACCGAAGCCCCCCAGGTCGTCTTCCTCGCCGCTCGAGTTAAGTAGATCGCACTCTTTTCTCTCCCAGCCCTTTATGACCGAGGCATTAAGCTTTTCTCTGCCTCCCTCCCTCCCTCCGCACACGCAGGGGGGGTGGCTGGAAAAATGTGAATCGCTTCATTCAAAGGGCTCGTGTCCGGAAAACTCCACAAATCCTCTTAGCAATGGAGAGGGGGAGGGAAGGAAAAAAAAGAAAAAAGAAAATGAAAGAATAGAAAATACAATGCAAAATCCCAGTGATGCACTTGGCAGCAGAGGAGCCGTGGTATTACAGAGCAGTCCCTTTGCTCGGCAGACAAGCACCCAGATCCATCTTCCTCAAATGTTCAGAGAGGATTTTTTGTCTTTTTTTTTGTGAACAACTCTGCGCAAGGTCATTAGTCACAAAGCAGCGCTACAAAACCCGCAGGAGCCGGAGCGGTGCGGGGCTGGAGCGAGGCACATCCGCCGGGCACCCGCCGGTCCCAAGTTTGGGGCTCGTGCAGCCGCAGTCGGCGGACGGGCGCCTTACCTGCATCCGCGCCGCCGGGCTGCGGGCAGCGCGGGGCTGCGGCGCGGGGCGGCTCGCGAGTGAGATTGCAGTCTCCCGCCGCTTCCCTGCCCGTCCCAATGCGGGGACCGGAGCTGAACTTGATCCTTGCAGTGCAAAGGTTAGTAACCAGGCTGCGTGTCCAAAAGGCGATTCTGATTGAATCTCCCCAGAGCGGAACAAGCTGTAACTGGATCCCCCACGTGAATTCACACAGATTCTCAATTACATCCGTAGAGGCGGAAGACAGGGAGGGAGGGATGGGGGGGAGCGATGATGCGATTAAAAAAAATATAAAATACAATTTTAAAAAAGCAGAGTCCTATTTGCAGACGAAAGGCGAGCAGGCAGCGGGG